TCCCAAATCTGAAGGTTTAGAGCTTTGTGTTGGTACTCCAAGAGTTCTGGATTTGGAGGCATTTAAGATGCTCAGCCTGTAATTTTAATTTCCCAACCTCTTCATTTGTGTTACCTGGTGGCTCCAGGATTATTCAGAACCAGTACGTGTTCAATATGAGCTTGTATATTGTTCACCTGGCCTGCCTGAGCCAGAACTGCACTTTGTGTGGAGATGAGACCTCAACACTTGTGCAAGTGGATGCTAAACCCCCTGCCCACAGCAACCACCCACCATCACACATATTCCCACCTTCGGGGGCCAACTCCTTCATCACAGCTCATTACAGAGACCCACAGGGCTTGGGGATTTCTACTTGCACTGTGAGACAGTGAGTTCAAAGTCGGCTAGGGAGAGGAGACAGGATGGCACACCACACCAGGAATCACAGCGGGAAAGCAGTTACCTGCAGTCTACGGTCACAAACACTCGCCAGTTTGGCGCCTACGTCTTGTGTGTACAGTCCACACTCTACCGCTACATGTCTACTCTCCTGCCGTTGCTGCTGACTCCATGCTCTGTTTTCTTCTTGGAGGGTGCTCTACTCCAACCAAACACTCCTTTCTCAGATAGAAACATGGGAATACTTTATTCAGGTGGCATTAATATTAAACAAGTAAATAATTAAATTTAATAAATAGTTACATTTAAATAATAACAATAATTATATATTCTAAAGATTTACAAAAGAAAAAGACAATTCCAAACAGGATGGTGGGGGCCAAGAAGTGAAGCCCCAGGTTCCATCTTCAGCACCACAGAACAAAACCCCCCAAAAAACAAGGTTGGGAAAAAACACACACAAATGAAAGGAGGAGGGGCTGGAGAGATGGCTCCATGGTTAAGAGCACCTGCTGCTCCTGCAGAGCTCGGTTCCCAGCACCCAAGTGGCAGCTCATAACCACCTGTGACAGGCTCCTGGGTCCCCCTCCAGCTCCAGGGGACCCAGTGCCGGGTTCTGGCCTCTATAAGCACCCACACTTTTGACACACACACACACACACACACACACGCACACGCACACGCACACGCACACGCACACACACACACACACACACACACGCACGCACGCACGCACACAAATAAAAATACTTTAAAGAACAGAAAAAGGAGGGTAAGGAAGGCCGTGGCTGAAGAGGAGAGGCAAGGAAAGAGATGATAAAGATGGCAGCAGAAACTGCCTAGCACCTCACCACCCTTACAGAAAGCACCCAAGGAGCCCAGTCCACCTTTTTCCCTATTCTAAACTGAAAGTCAGGAGATCTTCACATACTATGGTTTACAGAGCAACCTGCCACGGCCTTTCTTTCCTCTCTGAAATCATTTCCCAGGAAATTGCTGAAAACATACCCTTGGGTGGAGCAGAATGCAGAAGCCGCTAAGCCAGGCTTTAAAACATGAATGCTGCTTGGGAACAGGCTCTCTAAGTGCCCACCTGCCCCTTCCCTGCTTCACATGCTTCTCCAACAGTCAGGCAGAGCCTGCTTCCTCCCACTCTTCCTCTGGATCATTTTAGCTCTCACTCTAAAGCATCACTGCTCCCTTTCTCTGCCGAGCCCACTCCAGGCACAGCTGGCTGGTGACACGTCCAGATTTTCTTTCAGGGCGTGGAATACAGACATTTATTTTGAGAACCCACGTAAAACCAAAGGTGGCTTCCAGCTCCTCCGTCTCACTCAGCTTCCTTCAGAAGCTTAGGTATTCGGCTGGGGGTGGACTAGAATAAAATAACCATACAACTAATGGAGAGGGAATAAAGATTATCATGACTGGAAAAACAGAATAACAAGAAAAGAAATCAGAACCACACAAGTAGCTGTAGCCAAGACAATGAAAATTTCTACTGAGTTGAAGACAGTCAACCCATATGGGGGCTGGAGAAATGGCAAAAAGTGGCTGAGACTGTGTACTGTTCTTACAGGGACCCAAATTCAGTTCCCAGCACTCCCGTCAGCCAAGGTGGCTCACAACCACCTGTAACTCTAGCTCCATGGGAGTCAACGCCCTCTCTGGACTCCAAGGGCACCTATACTTGTGTGGATATATCAACAGACACATAATTAAAAAAAAAAAAAAAGTCAGCCAATCAGGCAGTCTCAGAGTAGCTTTTGAGCAAGAAGAGGGTGCACATACCTGACTGATCAATCTCCCCAAAACACATTTGTCCCCATGCCACACTCTTCTCTTCTCTAATAATAACTTGAGAATAACATACATCAGGAAGTGAACTGACCCGGCAGTGGTGGTGGCGCCTTTGATCCCAGCACTCGGGAGGCAAAGGCAGGAGGATCTCTGTGGGTTCAAGGCCAGCCTGGGCTACAGAGCAAAATCCAGGACAGGCTCCAAAAGCTACACAGAGAAACCCTGTCCTGAACAAAAAAAAAAAAGAATTGAACTGAAGAGCCTCTGGGTAGTAGCCAGCCTGAGGGTACACATAGTTGCTACTGAGGCCTTACCACATAGGTATGGCTACATCACACAGGCCTCTTCATTAGAAAAAAAAAATGGACTCCCTTTCCATCAGACCGCAGATGCCCAGGGGCTGTGGGTCCTGAGGTTACTTGGGCAGAGGTTACAGGGAAGGAAGCTGCCTGACAGAGAAACAGCAGCCACAGTTCGGAGGCAGTTCAGATCCTGCTGAACAGTCCATCTTGCTGTTGCTCAATATCTGACTCTGGAAGGGACTGGCCTGTTTACTGCTATCTCCAGATGAGAGAATCTGAAAAATGAATGACGATTCCGGAAAACATGACTTCACACAGGCTCTAGGCAAAAGAGGACACCACGTCTCTGACATGCTCAGATCCGAGGAAGGATCGGACTGCTGACATTCACATTTGCTAGAGCAGGGCATGGTGCTGCATGCTGTAGTCCCAGCACTTGGCCAGTAGAAGCAGGGCCATTCCCAGCAAGGGTAAGGTTACCCTGGTCTACACAGTAAGACCCTGCCTCAGAACCGAACCAAATGAAACCAAACCTGTATTGGCTCAGACATGTTCCTCCGGCCACATGTTACGTGTATTCCTGAGCTTTGGGCACTTAAAAAACATAATCAAAAAGAATCTACTGTACATCATTAAACTAGTTCACCACAGTCAGGGCATCTTAGTGCTTCCAAGGCATAACAAAGATTTGAGGGGTACAGAGCTCCTAACAGAGAAAAGAACAAGCAACTTGCTAAGAAATGTTGGCTAGAGTCACAGCAGCCAAGACTGAGGAAGCCTTTAGTCAGATTGGTAGCTTCTGATGAGAAACATACCACCTGGGGCTGGGGATGCAGCTCAGGAGAGTGCTCCCCTAGCATTCAGAAGTCCTGGGTTTGATCCCCACATTGAATAAAACTGGGAATGATGGTCCACGCCTGCAATCTCAGCATTCGAGGTGGAGGCAGGAGGATTAAAAGTTCAAGGTTATCTTCAGCTACATAGTAAGTCTGAGGATAGCCAGACATGAACAAACCTATCAGCAAGGGGACAATATTAAAGGCCGGTTATGGTTGTTGAATTCAAGTTACAAGGAACTGGGGGAGTAGATTGTAGAATTCTTGCACACTCACTTTAAGCCTAAACTGTGGTAGGAAAAAAGGGAGGGTTTCATGAACATTTAGGATGAAAGAGAAGACTGCAGATCGAAGCCCATGGGGAGCTGTACTTTTGTGCTGGAAGGAGGCCCAAACGTTTGCACAGAACTTCCTCAGCATGCCCCCGCTGACATTTCCTGACTGACCTTTCTGTGAGATCACTGTCGCCTCTGGTGTGCAGCTGCTAAGGCGGGTCATCCCTCAAGTACATACTTATCTGCCCTACTACTGACTGAAACTCAGAGTTGCTGCTGGTCAGTTCTCAAGGGAAGTGCCGAAGGTGGATCTTCCTGAAGGTCAGACAGAGCCTGCAACCCTCTGATCCGACCCTCAAATCCGACCCGGGGAACATGCACCAATCTGCAACTGCTGGCTGGCATAGAGATCTATCTGACGGTGGAAGGAAGCTTCCTTTTGCAAAAGCTGTTGTGACTTTACAGGTCTGGGGTGGGGTCTCAGCATCTGATTTTTACCAAGCTTCCAGAATATACTATAGGTTTGAAAGTCACTGTCTCCTTTTACGTAACACGGGGCGGTCTTGCTCAGAGGACTGTCGTGTTATCTATCGGTGGATCTCCTCCTAACAATCCACAGGGAAGCCTCCCCTCCCGTCTCATTCCTGTGCAGAGTTGATCTTAGCAACCCTGTGAAACTTGTAGCTCAAGTGCCGAGAGCTCAACCCGCAGCCGCTTTTGAATGACCGGGTAGGACCCACCGGCGGCTTCGTGGGAGGAGTGGAAAGCGCGTGCCTTGGTGGCATCACCTGTCGCTCATCCAAGGAAGCCAGGTAACCGGCAGCTCGCCGAGGTGTCGTGGGCACGCCACCGGGAAGCGGCTGGCCCGGTGGCGTGTGCGCGCCCCGCGCTCTCGCGCTCCCTCCGTGCACGGTCGAGCGCAGGTGGCCGGGCACCGCGCACACCCCGCACGCACGCCCCGCGCCCCCGCCGCGGCCCGCTCACCTGCAGTCGGTGACTCTTGACTAGGTGCATGTTGAGCGCAGGACTGTTAGGCAGGATTTTGCCGCAGCCACGCACAGTGCACAGAATATTGGTGCGTACAGCCCGGGACAGCTCGCTCACAGACGGCTGGATCAGCTCCCGCGCCGGTGGCACCGGGGCCGCGGCCCGAGCCCTGGCCGGTCGCGGTCGGCTTCCTTGAAGCCGCGACTCCGACGGCCTCCACGGGCCTGAG